CTTGCTGCTGCACTCGTACCAACGAAGACATGTTAAATCTTCCTTTTGGTCAGCAGTGATTCATGCGTGGAACAAGATCAAACTGAATGTCTGGAATGAGCCCCATACGAAAGCCGAAGTGATGATTCAACCGATTTTTTAGAACCAAGGATCAGAATGTCCACCGGGGATTGGTTTAGAGCCGATTCGTCTCCGTCAAGTTTTGGTTGCACATGGATAGAGAGGGGGGTCCTCAGGATTCAGGACCTGTGGAACCCGATTCTAGGCACCTGGAAAACGGATGAGGAACTACGTAGTCAACTTGGACTAACCTGGTATCAAAATGCAAGGAAACGGACCATCATCGAAGCTATTCCGGAAATATGGAAATTCTTTCTGTCCCCAGAGGGTGTAGACCCTCCGGGTACTTGGTTTACCGGCACACCCTCTGACTCTGATCAAATTTGGAAATTGATTAACATTGACAATGAAGGTCGCAGGGAGTGTGAATGTTGGGACACCCATCAGAGTAGACTGTTGACAATAGATGAGGATAACCCCGCTCCGCCTATGGGCATTCCTCTACAACAGATAAGGGTGTTTGAGAAATAGGTGCTGATGAGTTAGTGGGTGGCCAGATCATCTGCAGAGGGGAGCCCGTCCTGCATCTCAAATTAGACCCAGTCTTGTGGGAATGGACATTCAAAGGGCCAAGGGGAACTAATGCTACTCTTGCTGAATATTCGATTAAAGTGGGATATCATATAAACCGCCCTGTGAAGATTCCTAAGATAGTGGCCCGGGAACGATTGGCCCGACTCCTTCTGCTAGACTTGGGAGAGATTGATCGAGCCATTGCTGCCTGTTGGAAACAATTAAAACTGATAGCAAATCAGAGACATGCCTCCCTGCTGTGGTTGGTTTCACTGGTCTCAACTCCATCAGCAGTATGGCTCATGGAAAGAGGAGTGGGGGTAAATCCCACTTGTGCACGCTGCCAATGGGTCTTTGAATCTACAGTTCACTTATGGTGGGACTGTCCCGCCTCAGCTCAAATCAAGAAATGGTGGATAACCCGGTGGAATTTTACTTCGGATTATGCCATTCCATGGACGAAAAAATGGTCCTTGCTGGGTGGTCTCCCTGCAGGGGTACCCATGGATAAAGGTTGGGGGTATGTGGCTCAATCAGCAAGAGCCACGGTCTTCGCTGTTATTTGGCAATGCAGAAATGACAGGGTCTTTGACAACAGAGAGTGGTCCAATAAACAAATCCAGCAGGTCTTCAAACTTAATCTCAGACGGGCCATTCAAGCAGATTGGAGGCGCAAGGTGGCCTCAACATCCTTCTCCCTTTCAGGGCTTCATTGGTTCAAGCAGACATGGGCTCTCAATGACAAACTTTGTAGAGTGGAGGATAACAATCGCTTGTGTTTGGACTCTTGGCTCTTTCAGGACGAAACTCATAACAACACGATGGTACAAGGTAGGCGGCAACGACAGACAATTGAAGTGTAATCTCGTCTTGGCTCTCAGTAGGATCGGGTTGACAATTGGCAAGGTCGGGTGGTTGGAAGTGGTAGTTAGGTTAGCTCGGCTTACCTGGGCACTCGGTTTCTTCAGTCGGCGTAGGCTGGCAGAGGGATAGTCGAGTGGAGGGAGTGTTCTGTTAGATGAAGTTGGAGCATGCTCCCCACCGTCATTAGGTGGTTTCCCTTTTGGTAACCTTTTTACTGAGGTGTTTGTCCTTTTGTAGAATAGATGGATTGCTAGTAGTTAGCTTCCCTGGTAGTGTGCTTGGTTTTAGGCCATGTTGGTTTATTTGTTCACTTGGTTTGGGTTGATGATTTTCAGGTTTGTGTTCGGCTTTTCTGCCATTGGATGTTTTTTTTTTTTTTTTTTTTTTCCAGGGTTAGGACGTGTCAGGGCAACGGTCTTGTTTTGCCCATTCTGCTTCTAGACCCTAGTGTCCCAAGGCCTGCACCTAAGCTGGGTAATGGTCCCAGTATCATTTTGTGGTCTATTTCCGGGTTGTATTGTTGAGGTATTCCCGACCTCGCTTTTTGATGTGGTACTAAGAATGAGCAGAGTTTYTTTGTAAAAAAAAAAAAAAAAAAAAAAAAACAGAACTCAACTGCCGTTATTTTATTATTATTTTTTTCTCAAAATTTGTATTTTTTTTTTTATTTATTTTTAAGGGATGAACCGAAGCCAAGTCCCACTAGCAGCGTTGAGCTACCTCAACGCCAATCTGGACGTGTTTGTGGAGACGTGCAGTTCAGGAAACTCAACACCATTTCTGCATATCTCCACAAAAGCGTCCAGATTCAGGCGTTGAGGTAGCTCAACGCTGCTAAGGCCTACGCGAGGCATGACTTACCTCCACCTTACGGGAGCTGTCACCTCCCTTCGGTAGGCGTATCCCTGCCGAGCTACCAGTCCACAGTACAAAAGTTGATTAGTTGCAATCGCAGAGGTGGACCAGCCGAGGGCGTTTCTCGTTCGCTGTAGCATAGGGTGTACGCGCGGTAATACGCCTCCGTCGGACCCGCATGCGAACCGACGCACTGGGGAGGCTGAAATCCCAAGCGCGGCTCGATGTCGGTCGATTAGGATGTATCCTAGTCACCACGCATACACCACTCTACGAACGCAAAAATAAAACACACACACGCACACATCAAACAACGTGACAACACTCCTAGTCCCTTCAGTAGCCATCTCATAACTTTCCGACGCGAAAATTGGGTAGGCGTCACGTGCGAGACTTAGCATAAAGCCGCGCGGACGCAAGGCTAACTCATATCGACTAGCAATGCAAACGTACGCAAGCAGTCACAATGATGGCGTATGACGTAGTACCCATACTCATGCGATCCTCGTTAATCTCGAGGGTCGCGTTGACACTCAAGTGTCGGTTGACACGCGGCTTGAGGGTTAGTCTTTCGACGCTGGACAACCGCCATGCGCGGTTAAAGACCACACACCCTCTTCTGCACCCTATGCACAGTGGGTGGTACACAAGTCCATATATGTGGTGGCAGTCGTTCCTTACTGCCCTAGAGATGAGTCCCACTTTGGGCCTGGACGGGGTTCAAGGTCCTTGTCCAGGACATCCCAAGCCCTAGACTTTGCAGGGAAGGGACCTCCCCTCGTGCAGAGCCTATTTACTCCGCCCGTCGGGATACCCAACCCTAGGGGCAGAAGTGTCGCGAGGGCCGAACGGCATGTCCTTCAGCCGTTCAATATCGTGAAGGGTAACCCCCCACGATATATTCCTTCAGTCATTCAATATCGCGAGGCCGGAGCCACGATTACCGCGTATGACTAGCATCGTCAGTTGGTGTAGGACGGGTCTGCAACCGTGCAACTTTATATCCCAAGTCTTGCGCGGGACGTCTCGCCGTCCTAGCGTCAAGAGTTATGGGATCAAGAGATTCGTACATATGCACGAGTGTTCAGGATCGATATAGGCCGCCGACGCCAAGCGAAAAAGTACCTCAGGGTTATGATTTTCTCGGATAGGGGTACCCTTGGCCTATACTTGCTTTTTAAGACTTATCATGGTTAGACGTTGTAGTCTGTGGCAGCCGTCAAAGTCAAACTCCTTGACTTCCGTCCAGGCCCTGAGTGAGACTCATCTCCAGGGCAGTAACGAACGACTGCCACCACAGGTATGGACCTGTGTACCACCCGCTCTGCACAGAGTGCAGAAGAGGGTGTGTGGTCTTCAACCTCGCATGGCGGTTATCCAACGTCGAGAGACTAACCCTCGAGGCACGTGTCAGCCGACACTTGAGTGTCAACGCGACCCTCGAGATTAACGAGGATCGCATGAGAATGGGTACTACGTAGTACGCCATCATTGCGATTGCTTGCGTACGCTTGCATTGCTAGTCGATATAAGTTAGCCCTGCGTCCGCGCAGCTTTATGCTAAGTCTCGCGCTTGACGCCTACCCTTCCGCGTCGGAAAGTTATGGGGCTACTGAAGGGACTAGGAGTGTTGTTGCGTTGTTTGATGTGTGCGTGCGTGTGTTTTATTTTTGCGTTCGTAGAGTGGTGTATGCGTGGTGAGTGAGATACGTCCTGACGTCAAGCCGCGCTTGGGATTTCAGCCTCCCAGTGCGTCGGTTCGCATGCGGGTCTGACGGAGGCGTATTACCGCGCGTACCCCCTATGCTACAGCGAACGAGAAACGCCCTCGGCTGGTCCACCTCTGTGATTGCAACTGATCAGCTTTCGTACTGTGGGCTGGTAGCTCGGCGGGGATATGCCCACCGAAGGGAGGTGACAACTCCCGTAAGGTGGAGGTAAGTCGTGCCTCGCGTAGGCCCTATCCTGTTGTAGGGGCTCGCGGGAGGTATGGCTGGTGCACTCGGCCGGAGCGGCTTGCGGAAGCTCCATGTATATTCGCGACGAAGGATTTAAACCAACTCCTGCGTGACGCGGCCGGGAGGGTCCCGCGCTGCCCTAGTGCGGTGCCGGACCGATGCGCTCGAGAGGTGGCGCCGTTGCCGGGGATAACGGAAGCCTACCGTTGTCCCTGGTGGAACGACATCCGGGTATGGAAGTGAGGGAGAATAAGGCATGGTTGGGTAGGTGATGAGTGAGCGGTATGGTGCCTTGTTTGGTTATGTGCATGAAAGACCTGGTTACTAATGGACTTGATTGATAGGTGAAGTGATTGTGTGACTGAAAAGACTGCATAGGGGGCCTCATGTTAGGGACTGACTCCACTAAGAAGAGCCAAGGAGTAAAGGTAGTGCCTGCTAGATCAAAAGGAAAGAAAGAGCGATACAAGAACCTTGATAGAAGTATGTTACGTCGAGGCGCTGAATGAAACTTTTCATTTTCCTTCTTAACAGGAAGGTAGCAGGAGGCAGCCAACCAAGATGTAAGGAGGTGGGGACGCCGCCCCGAGAAAGGTCCTAACGCTCGACGATCTTGTCGAGGCCCTGGACAAGCGTGAGAGGGCGCCGAGCAATGTTCCGAAAGTTGATACGTTCCATTTAAAAGGGGAACGGGTATCCGATTGGCTGGACCTGGTTGAGCAGGCGCTGGTGGGACTGGCGGACGAGGTAAGGTTTCAGCGGATTATGAGATACGTCCTTCATAGCCACCATCAGGGAGTGAGCAAGGTTGTGGACGCCGCCAATGGCAGCTGGGCAAGGTTCAGGGAAGGGATGTTAAGGAAGTACAGGTTAGGGGACGACCTATTGACTATGGCTGACTTGGAAGCCATGAACAAGGATGATTTTTCCACGATCGGGGCGTTCGTGCACGAGTTCAAGAAGAAGGCAAGGAAGGTGCACGGGATTTATGAAGAGGCGCAATGTGCCATCTTCCTGGGGTTGCTCACTGACACGGAAGCCTCGGAACTGACGAGTCATGGAGGGGAGAGTGAGAAGCTCATCTGCGCCACTATTGATAAAGGAGTGGAAGAGGGGAGTTTGGACCAGGTGGAGCAGCACCAGATGCGGGTACAGAGGCGAAAAAGAAAGGAAAGGGACGCCACCGCATCTGGGACCCCGGGGGTAAAGAGGATTGTTACGGACGTGCTGGCGGCGTTGGGTTATGATAATGAGGCGGAGGTGCAAAAAAGGGGGGTGACCGTGGTCCAAGGTCGAATATCAGGGGCAGCGGATGAGGAGGTTGGACGTGAGGACTACAGTGGGGAGGAAACGGACTCTCAGGTCCTGACTAAAGCCCAACGAAAGCAGCGCAATTTGCTGTTGGGAGGTCAAGGATCAGGGAAGGGGCAGACCCCTCAAGCAATTGCTGCGCCGCCACCTGCCCCCGCGACGGTGCCAGTGTCAGCAAGGCCATCGCAAATGGGGCCGCCACCAGCCTGTGGGCACTGGGTGCCGTATTGTCAGATAACACCCTGGCCCAGTTGTAACCACTGCACCTCGTGTGGAGGAAGCCAAGCCCACACTGGACAGATGGTCCTGTATTCGGGCCCACCGACAAGTGGGGGTCCGCCAAGTTATCCCGCGGCTCAAGGTCAGTTTGCGTCCCAACCGCCGCCCTCACAACAGGCATCGCAGACTAGCGTGGCTGGAGGAGGAAACCAGGGGCAAGGCGGACAGGGCAATGGAGGCCGAGTCCAAGGAGGCCAAGGAGGTGGTGGCCGAGGGCGAGGAAGGAATGACGGAGGTCGTGGGGGTGGATGGAATGGCCAAGGGGGCCAGGATCAAGGCAGCCAAGGCGGCCAGGAAGGGGGCTAAGGGTATGGAAGGCCCTGCTTTGATTGGCGAAATGCCACCTGCTGGCATTGTGGCTACCAAGGCCACACTATACGATTTTGTCAAGGACGGCGGGACGATGAGCTCTCCGGGTTGATCTCCACCAACATGGATGGAGATATATATGATAAATATGAAAAGTATATTGACCCGAAGACACCCGGCGGAGTCAGGCATGAGGCCCAGAGGCGAGCGATGGCAGGGCCAACACCCCCGGCCATGTTCAGGATGTGGCAGGAGAGAGAGGACCCGACCATAAGGGTCGAGGAGATTGTGAGAGAGAGTGAGGAGGTAACTCAACGGCTAAAGGCAGGAGCTATAAAGGAGGAGCCGATAGTCGTTGAGTCGGATGACGAGGGGCAGAGGGACGGAAGAGAGTTGGCCATAGTCATCTTGGGGAAAATGGAGGATCTGCTGGAAAAAGTGGGTAGGTGCCAGCAGAAGCTGCAGACATTGTGTGACGAGACCCCGGAGAACACGGGGGAGTTACCCCGACCAATACTAGGAGGTAGGTGGATAGGCTAGATATAGGGCCATTAGGGAGTAGGCTACGGGGAAGGTTGAAAAGAAGACTAAGAGTGGTGGAAAATGGGCTTAGGCCAATTGTCTTATTGTTTGGGGCCTTGGGCCCGGGGATTGTTCGTTTGAGAGTCAGTAACTGTGTTGTTGGGGTTAGCCCCACGGTAGGAAGCTGAACATTGGTGTCAGCATGAAATTTTGTTTGACCTGGGTTGTTTGTGAGGAATTCCCGGCCTCAAAGGTTTTATATAATTGAATTCCTTGCTTTTTCCCAAAAAAAAAAAAAAAAAAAAAAAAAAAAAACACTGAAAGAGAGGTGGGGGACCTCACAATTCCACCCGGGGTTATCCCGACAGCATTAGCCGGTTTCACTTACAGCCAACAGGGCTGGCCACTCTCATAAAAAATAATTCATACCAATAGGTGAAAACCTCATCACTAACACACATGCTCTTCTGGATCTCTTGCCAATACGCTCCAGCAACAGTATTCCTAAATATAAGTAAAAAATCAGCTACCTATTCTCTTCTACAGCAGACGTCTGGGCTGGCAACTCTCATAAAAAACAATTCTTACCAATAGGTGAAAACCTCATCACTAACACACATACTCTTCTGGATTTCTTGACAATACGTTCCAGCAATAGTATTCCTGAATATAAGTCTAAAATCAGCTACCTATTCTATTCTACAACAGACGTCTAGTACGATGACCCGGACTAAACGACCGGGTGGAAGCCCTTGTTCCTCTGTGCACAAGACACTCTCCTAACGGACCACTGCGTCCCTAAAGAACCGAGTGTCCTGGTTATAGGCCCCAAAAAACTCTAACCTCCCCCCTACCGACCGAGTACCTGGTCCCCTACTCTGATGGTTTCTCCCTATCTGACAGACCTACTCCCAGCCCTCCCTTCTAACCTTAACTACTCAGCCACCTCGAAATCACCAGGCCTCGTGTGGTATGTACCCCTGCTAGTTGATTTCCTTTCGCCCATGATCTCAGAAACCACCAAAGGTTCCTCCTTTGGCCCTTACCACACCTGGCTCTCCTGCGTCAGTCGGCCCAGATAGCTCTCCTTAGACCACCCTTAATATCTGTCTTGATCTTTTGATCCGAGAAGGGACGCCCTTCAAATTTGACTCTGTTTCTATCTGCCCAAATCACAGATCATATTATCCCCCTGGCCACATGTGCCACATACGGCCAACCTTTCTTCCCAGATTGAGTGTCCCCTTCAAAACCCAGCAAGACCAATCTTTCGTTCCACTCAATATCCTCTCCCCCTATCCTTTCCCAATGATCCTCCCACCACCTCCACACCCTTCTTGAGGCCGGACAATCCCACCACAAGTGTTTTGTGGATTCAAAAGGCCAAGAGCAGCGAGGGCATGTCAGCACCACCTCCATCCCTTTGCTACAAAGCCAAACTGCGGAAGGGGTAACCAATAAAGACAGCATCCACAACAGACTCGCTTGTTTGAGGTCTGGCAAGGAGAGTAGAATACTCCCCAGTTTAAGGAACTCACCCTCTTTCCCCTGAAGGTCCTCCAAGAGGACAACACTCCATCTTGATATTGCCACCCCTGTTGGACTTCTCCCTTTGCGGGTAGCCATCCTATAAGGCTCCTTGACTATGAGGTTGGAGAGATCTAGACCACGTGGATTTGCCCTCGAAACAGTACCTCCTCTCCACTGCCAAGCTAGGGGGTCTATTGATAGTTCTCGCAGGGGGACCCTGCCCACCCATCTTGTGGATAATACTGTCCCTCTCCGGTTTCTTGTTTGAATAACTCTCACGTGGAGGGGGGTTGTCCATTGCCTGATAGTTTCTTCTTCACCAGGGACCACCAACCCAGGCTGCTCCCCTGACTGCTCCCCCACTTTCCATTTCCGAACCTCTCGGAAGCCGCAGTCTATCAGGCGTTGCACCAGATGCAGAAGGACAGGGAAGGGAGGATCTCTGAGAAAGAATATTAGCATGGCCCCTGCGCAAGGATGACACGCATAAATCGAGAAATGGTCCCAAAAAAAATAAAAAATAAAAATCTACAGGCGGGTTCCACCTTCCTCTCGCGGGCTCGATTGGTGCGCTTCCGCCAAGCTGAGCGCTAATTCGACCGCTCATACCAAGCGCGGGTCACCGATAACGGCAGGCGCGTCTGCCCGGGGGACCTACACGCACTATAGGACCACGACAGAGGCGACGTTCGACACCATCCACAATTACACGTTGACGGAGGTCATAAATAGCCGAGGCTATGGAGAACGCAATCGCAGACGCCTGTAATGGGACCTTGGAAAAAAAGAGCGATGACTCGAAGAAGTGTGACACAAGCAGCAGCAGGAGAACGTAGAATACAGAGAGAGAGAGAGAGGAGTGTTCACCGGTTGCGGGTAGAGAAAGTGAGGATTAGGGTTGATATCATCAGCAACATGGAAGTAGGAGTCAACGAGGAGGTACTCGGAGGTCAACGAAATGGAGGCTCCTATAGCGGAAGGGAGGTCATTCCCCACCTCAGGCCCCAAAACAGCCTCAAGATGAAGACGGCGTTAAAATAATGGAACTGGCAAGGTTGTGTTACGATGAAGAGATCGTGACAACTTCAGTAGATCCAGGGGAAGTGAATGTGAATGGAAGAGAAGTCAATGAAATCGAATTGACAGAAGGAAGGTGGTGATCTTCTGTGAAGGAGCTCGGTTTTTACCAAAGAAACTGAAAGACGACATGGTGAGAGCTTATGAGGACGGTGTCCTACAGGATGGGAGTTTCGAGGCAGAGAGCTTCAGAAGCGGGAGAGTGAAGGTGGAGAGCCCCAACGTGGTATCGTATATTGCAAAGGCGATGGCGGTGGGCATGTGGTTGGTAGGTAAAGGGCACAACAACATCACTCTAGGAGTCACGAGATATGCGCTGGACTTTAAGTCATGGCTCACAGGGGCTCAACTCCATGAACAACGGAGGAGGGAAGAAGAATCAACCTTCTAGGTAGTCGCGGTGCAAGTTCCACTTGACGCCATGTTTTATCTAGAAACTCGGATACTGAAGGCAATCGGGAAGGTGCTGCTTGCTCGTCCAGCAAAACGGGATCGGCTGAAACCCTTACTAATCAATCTTAAATTTGACCTGGATCCGGAGGCACGAGTGAACATGAAGGACAAAATTTGGTTATCACCTTCGAAGGGGACACACTCACTGTAAACCTGGCTTCGTCAGAACTCCATGGCCTTCTTCCACACAAAAGACCAGTGCCGAAGGAGCCCTGCACTCGAAAGACCAGTGGCTTCTTCCACATATGAAGAATTCACGAAAAGTGAGAGCCTAAACATATGTGGAGCAGGGCCATCTTCTTTGTTTGGGCTCTCACTTTTTCTTTGTTTAAGCTCTCACTTTTCGTAAATCTTCGCAATAGCAGAATGGGGCGAGTCAAGAGCAAACACAAAGCAATCAATGGGCTACACATACAGCACAATAAGAGTATGAAGGCCCATTAGGACCAAGACCGAGTGCAATGGGAGGCGGTCAAGGAGCAGCAATAGGACCTCAACCAAGCGGGATGGCGTCCAACCACCAGGCCTTCACTCGGGGCTCGCGGTACCAGCCTTCGACCAATGGGCTATGCCGATTAGACTTATCAGGCAACCAATCAGCATTCATGCTATTGGTCGTGCAAGGGCCAATGGGACATTTCACGTCGCCAAGCAAGTATGGACTTCCCCCAGGTATGTTTGGAAACACGCAAGGCTTTTCAGGAGAAGGAGCGCTAGGCGGCTTCTTCCACCACCAACAAGGACGACCAACTACGTCAGGTCCAACAAGCAGGTCAATGGTAGCACAGACTGGAGGAGTAGGAGCGGACGGGGGATGGGGAATGGAGGACAGCAGGACAATGCGTCAGAGGAGAGTTCATGAAGAAAGAGAGGCGACAGGAGGACTTCGAACAATAGAAATATCACCAAAGGGGTCTTTTACTTTAGAAACGGGAGGAGTTGCAGGGTCAACGCAACTCAAGAGACGAAGGGGAAATCTCACACCAGGGAAGCAGAGGAGATTAGTAGGTAGAGAAGAGAGCGTAACATCGATGCAAGGATTGAGAGGAGAACACTCAGGTTCGTCTCAATCGGATACCTCCCAAGGTCATGCGTGTGAGATAGGCACCCCGAGTTCAAAAACAACCTGTAGGAGGACCCCGGTGACACTGAGCAGAGGGCAACAAGATAACATCGAATCCAAGATCCTGCCGAGTTCAAAAACAACCCATAGGAGGACCCCGGTGACATTGAGCAGAGGGCAACAAGATAGCATCGAATCCAAGATCCTCTCGATTTTCGACACGATGGTGAGGAATAACATGTCTGTTAATATCACGGTCAACTTGATCTCGCTAAGATCCTATCGATTTGTTGGAGCTCTGCTAATATCACGGTCAACTTGATCTTGCTAGTTTCACCTGAAACACTGATGCCGACAGTAAGTGTGACGATGATCCGGACAAGTATAAGAGATAAGTTCCAATTTTGCATGATTTCATAAATCCTTTTGCCCCACTTGATCGTAGACAATCCCGAAATCGGAAAGAAGATCAAATTATTTGTTTCGCTTTTGGATGTTCGATTCGTGTGGGGTCAA